GAAATACAGACCAGATAATTGCCAATTTCATTGGCAACATCTGTGGGTTTGCTATATCAAAAAACGGCAACCCCCAGAAAAAGGGCCGGGTCAGGAAAAAATTTACCACCAGTTTTCGACTTTTTTCCAGACTGACTATAGAGGAAGAGAGGTGATTGGGTGGAACATAATCTCGCCAGCAAGTGCGTTTAGCCAGGTGAACGGCGAGCGATAGCACGCTTCTTTTTAAAAAACAAGGGTCGCTCCCGTGGTTCTATTGTTTCCGGTACCCCCGCCCCCGCAGGCGTTTCAAAGTACTCAGGGACAAGCGGAGACCCCCAAGGCAGCATTTTGAGAATGCCTGCCCGAAGTTTTTTGGGGGATAGAAAGAAAGCTGCGGTGAAAAGGAGGACGAGAAAGGTGTAAAAAGCCATCGTGGAGGACAAAAAAAGGGAAACCCCTTTTAAAAAAAGTTTTTGGTTTTGAGAAAGGGTTTCCAAATTTTCCGATTTAAATTGCCAGCGTGGGGTGCGAAGAGGTGGGGAATACGAAGGGAAAATAAAAAATTTTGGGGAAATGATCACTGTCTTTTAAGCCCCGGGAGACAGACCATTTAAAAGTCTAATGCGGCGGAGGAAGAGAAAAACTGAAACGATGCAAAAAGGAGTTAGCCCGAGGATCAAAATGGGGCGAGTACCTGTATTTAAAAACATGGAGGGGGTGGGGTGGCAAGAAAACCCTCTAATAAATTTCCCCAGGGGAATCACAGCGAACCCCCCCAGAGGAAAGGGTGGGCTTTAAAAATCCCCAAGTAAAAACGGTGGGGGTAAATGACGAAACAAGGAAGGCAAAACCCGGGAAAATAGATAATGCCCGAAAGGGAGAGAGATATAAAGAACAGAGCGTAACCCCTATTAAGTGGTAGGGGCTGCTGTGTAATGCAGCGAAGTATGAACAAATACTGATGGTAGGGGGAATATCAGTGCGGAGAAAAGGGGATTTCAAAAAGGCCCCATCGGGAAAAAGGTCTGAAGAATAAAAAATTTTAAGCCTGAAGGGGGAGAAATAACAGCGGGTTTAAATTTTTGGGTTCCCTGTAAGCAACACCAACAGGGAAAACTGGAGAGTAAATCTGAAGCTCACCCCATTACCCCTGAGGCCGCTATATTCCACTGAAAATGGGCCATGTTTGGCAATGATAAAGATATTTAAAATCCGCAGGTAAGGGTTCCTAGGGACTAGAAGGGTTAGAAAAGTCCACATGGGGAGGCGTGGAAAATGTTAAAAGCAGCAAAGGGAAACGGTGCGCTGTAAAGAAAGGTTTTGCGCAGATGGAGCAGAGGAGAAGAAAGAGGGAAGGTGGACAGTGTCCATTGATGGTTTGGTCCTAAATATTTCAAGATTGCTTAAAGTTTGGGAAATTCAGAGATGTCGTTGGGGAGAAAATTTGGGAAGGGTGGGGGAGGAGATAAAGATTGGAACTGTTTTGGACTTCCCAAAGGTAGGGGGAGGCAAAAGGGGTGGGGGAACGGGAAACGGGGCGGGGGACAGAAGGGGCAGGAAACCGGGGAGGGGGCAGAAGGGGAAGAAATTGGAGGGAACAGGGGGGGAAGGTACATTACGAGGAGGGGAAACCCTCTGCACTTGTAACTGAGCCGTGAGAGGGAAGAACTAGGGACAAACAGGGAGGGTAAAATGAGGAGGGGGAAGGGGTAGGGGTGTTACCGGACCTTTTTTTGATTTTTTGAAAGTTGAGGGACGTTTGGGAAGGAGGTGTCGAGGGGTTTCCCCTTCGATACTGAGGCTTGGGGGAAGAGAACTCAAGAAGCGGGATTGCCCGAGGCGTTGAAGTAGGGACGTCCGAGCCGGAGGCAGCAAAAGGTTTTAGATACGGGGTGATTTGGGAGGTAACCACAGGGGGGGTGTAGAAGATGGGATACTAGAAGTGGGGGGACTTTTGAAACAGGGGAATAAGAAACCGGGGGAGTCCTCCCTTGGAGGCGGGATGAGAAACTCCCATGTAAGGGAACCTGTTCTTGAGGAAGGATTTCCCGTCTTTTTAAATAGACCTGACAACGGCAAGAGTACAAGGGTGAGCCTCATGACAATTAAGGCAAAGGAGATCGATTGCAAGACTATTAGAAGGTCATGGCACCACGCTGGGCATTGGGCGTGTTTTCCAATATTTCGCGGGATGGCCAAATCGCCAGCAATTTCTACACTGTTGTGGTGTGGGGATCACCTTTCGAACTTGTAACCGATGTCCTGCTATAAAAACTGAGGGGGGGAGTTCTGGGCTGCAAAATTAAACGGCCCATTGCTGGGGTACGCTCCCCCACGGGAAGGAAAAACGTAAGTATCTCCCTTTAAGGTTGGGGAGATTTTGGAGTTCCGTTTTCAGAATGTCAGTGCCACATGTTGGAAATTTTGTTGAACTAGGTAGGGGGCAGAATGACGGCCCACTACAAAATTGAGGGAATGATTTTTTTTCAAGAGCGATAGAAACGTACGATAGGGAAAGACGAGAGAGCTCATGACCTAGGTGCATTCTGAACGGTAATAGCCGTCCGCTCTTAAGACAAAAAAAGAAAATCTTTACCAACATGGCGTAGGGTCCCTTTGCCAATACAAAAAAGGTCAAAAGATGGCAGAGGGGAAAGTTTCGTAAAGTGAGAATTTGCCACGTTCAGTCGAAACTGAGCGTAAAAAAGGTAGTGAAGGACGGTCGTCATTTCTAGAAAAACGAGAAGGTGAAAATATCATCAGCAGGTAATTGTCGTTGGCGTTTAGGCGTGGGACCAGAGTTGGTCCGACTGGAACGGGTCGGCAATTTGAAAATTCCCGTACCATAAAAGGGGGGGCCCGGAAGCATAGTCAGGGGGAAGCAAAGGTCCGATAAATTGAAGGGTCAGACGGGCCTCATACCTAAGCGGGTGAGGAAACAGCACCGGCAATAGGTACAGAGGATGAGGAATGTTGAGAGTGGGCCAAAGACGAGGCGGGGTCAGAACAGGTCGGTATCAAAAAAGGGCCCGGGGTACCAGGTTCATGGGTAGGGCTGCCATTTAGGTTACTTCTTTTTTTGTTTTTTTAAAAAAAAAAAAAAGAAAAGGAAAATAAAAATAAAAAAAAAAAAAAAAAGGGGGACCGGGGGGGGAAAAGGTCCTAGGGGGAATGAAAGGGCCAGAAAAACTCCCTCCGGCCCCCCGAGGACCCAGCCACCCGTAGCGAGATGCAGCATGGGAAACCCCTGCCATACCCCCACCCCTCATTAGTAAAAAACAACCGGGATAGCAACCTCCACTGCCGAGCTACCTCGGTGGACAAAAGAGGGGCGGCCGATATCCGCCAAAAAAGCATCCTCCTTCGGGCCCCCACCCCCGGAATCCAAAAGGGGGTTCAGAATACACTCGTCGCCCGAAAAAACACCCAAAAGCACTCCGGGTACCGGAGAGGGGTGGGAAATCCCCCGGCGATCCCGATTTCCCCCCCCCAAAATACGCCACCGCTAAAACCTCAACGGGAAGGGGTGGACCCCCGGTATCCTTTTCCCCACCTAGGAACTACGCGCCCGTGGGAGAAATCCCAAAAACAAAAAGAGGAAGGGAAAAGGGAGGGTGGGGAGGAGGAGGAGGAAAGGAAAAAAGGGGGGGGATGGGGTAGGGAGGGGGGATTGGGGGGGAATTTGGTTCGGGCTGAGGAAAAAGACCGATGGGCAATCCTCGACCAAGGCCTCTTTACCACGCCAAAGGGGCCCCCCCTTTAAAAAGGGCAAGGCTTGAAAGCGACAAGATTAAAGTAAATCATTGACAAAAAAGCTATTTTTAACCATTCAAAAATTTTTTTAACTCCCGCTTTTCAATGAAAAACTAATATTTTTTTTTAAAAAAATAACCTACCGTATGTACATTTATGTACTACCCTTTTTTTAAAAGGGAAAGGGTTAAGAAAACATGATGCAGGGTGTGTAGATGAATTTAGGGTAGTGAGGGTTTCCTTGCAAATTAAAGGGGGGGGGGAGGGGGGAAAAAATGACTTGAGACTTAAAATATTTTCTGCATAGCCTGCAGTGATTTTGTAGTGCAAATATCTTTCTAATAAGGCAAAATAAAGATTAAAATTGCCTGTGCCAACTAATTGGGGCAAGTATTTAACTTCATCTCTGCAAATTTTAGACGATCCACCTAGCGGAAAAAAGGAAAAAGCGCATACAGAGAAAATGACAAAATCTAATTTAAGTAGCTTTCATACAGGGATACAAGGAGCCCTCTTTAAAGATTTAGAAAAATTTTTTTGAATATACAAGCATAAAGGAAATTCGGCCTCTCCTCACTTTACTGACGATTCTTAGAAAGGAACTCAAAACATTAATAACGAGGAAGGGGTTTTTCAGAGTACTGCAATATCCAAACAATATAGAACCCAAATAATGGATTTTAAAATTAAAAAAATTAGATTAGAAAGGATGTAGGGAAAATACAGTGGGCCCCCCCTTTTTCGATCAGCCCCAATGACCAATATTAAGTATTTATGCAAGGGTTTGTGTTTGTTTTTGGGGGGCTGAAATGGGCAAAACTAATTCACAATATTCCTTTTGGACCAAATTGTTCATAATGGGACCTGAAATACTTTTGGAAGAAAAAATATCGAAGCCGGGGTCCCTGTACTGGTTTAAGCACAGAGTTTTCAAAAGTGGAACAATTTTCCAGTAGTATCAAAGAAACTAACTTTGGATAGCTTTAAAAGTTAGACATACAAAACGAGAAAAGTTTGGGTTTTTTGTGGATCTGCCCAGTTCGATTTTTAAGGGTTTCGAAGCCAATTCAGGGAAAGCCTTGGCAATAGATTAACAAAAGTGGGGGAACATTGAACTTTAGGGCTGTCAAGCTGGGTAGGGAGGCTTGCCTCAGTGTTAGAGTAAAAATCATGAAAATAGGAAGTCATAGTTACCAAGGAAACTCAGTCTAATTTTTAAACTTTTAAGATACCCCTGACAAAAAACCCAATACGTAACATAATCAGTATTCTAACAACATGGTACAAATATTGAAAGTTGTCTAATCCTGGCTGTATGGTTTACTGCATTATGATGGAGAGACTTTCACCTAGTAAAGCAGCCAGTTCCAAGTATCACATATTAAAAAGTCACATTTTAGTACTCTCTAATAAACACTAAATGCACTTAGCCTATCAAGGGTTACTTTGAACAGCTGCCTTTAACAAGTTATTTATATATACAGTGGAACCTCGGTACTCTAACAGCTCCGTACTCAAACAATTCGGTATTCAAACAGCCAACCAAAAAGAAAACTGGATGGGAAAAACTTGTTCTGTACTCTAACAGATCAGCACTAACAGCCTTCTGGAACCAATTAGTTTGAGTGCCGAGGTTCCACTGTACATTAAAAACATGAATCAAACCAGCCAAATAAAAATGTCTGCATATGCCAAATAAACTCTGGTGACTGGAATTAAATTAACAGGAGTGAATACAGATCCTGCTTCACATTTTGTATGGATACACTGCATGTTACTGGGAGAATATGACAAAAGGGAGTAATTTCTTGTAGAAAGCAAACAATTAAAAGCCCAGGAAAGTTATTAGTGAGGAAAATGAAGATAAAGAATAAGGAAGACAAATTCACTTCAATTTAACTACCTTCTAAATAAGCCTTGCTTATCTGGTCCACAAATGCTTTGTATAAACAAAATTATACAATACAGTAATTGTAAAGAGAATAAGATCTAAATTTTAACAAATACACAAAAGGCTATCTAAATAAAACTTTAGACTAATCCAGGTACTAAGGGGAGTAGAAAATTTCCAGCATATACAGTATAGTGTCAAACTTTTTTTTAATTGCTGCTACACAAATTCTACATACTTTTCTGTGTAGGGTACATCAACACAAAGTAGTTTCAAACGGTTCTGAAAATGTATTTAAAGCACTATCAGCTGAATCTACAGGCCAAACCATTAAAATTCTCAAAGTAGTAGTACTGCAATTAGATATTTAAGATCCTTGGGTTGAAATGGCAACATGGTAAATAGAACAAACATTAAAAGTGATACAATAATAAGGATATGATGCACTAAGAATAAGACTATCTTGGAATACGTGTTAGATAGTGATGATAATATGGTAGATAATATTATAAACATACTGTGTTGGCAAGTCAAACCTGCATGATTTCAATCTATATTCTAGATTAAAAACAAGTATGAATGGTTTGTCCGTGTTTTAAGTTGTATCCATCATTCAGGGGTGTGAATCAAATTTCTCTAGGATAAGTTTGAGCTAAATTTTTTATAAGCTTAATATTCTTCTTTTAGAAATTCTTAAAATATAGGTTTTCCAAAATGCACGACTAAACTAGGAGCTGACTAAATTATACTGTACATGACATCAGTCTTTATACAATAAAACATTATCTAACCAAATGTGCTTTGCAAAAGTGAATTTTTTAAATTACTGTCAACAAAAGTTAAAAATACCATAGCTAGAAAAAATCACACATAACTGCAATAGACTCCTATGCCAGCCTTCATCAAGTGTGGGCGTCTCGCCTGAGCACAAGTGAAAATTTTTTCCCCTTCTCTTTGGGATGCTTGTTCTCGTCTTACTTTGCCTGCTGGGCATGTTACAGGAGGGGCACCAGTCATTGGCTCAATTTTAGCCAGTTCCATTTTTTTTCCCCTCTGCAGATATTTCTAATGGTTTTGGCGTGAAGTCGGTTACTGAAGTTGGGCGAGGGGTGTGGGTGTCCCACTCTGCTGGGACTTGGCAAAGGGGTCCACCTAGTCTATTTGGGAACCTATAGTTTGTTTCTATTTATAAAGGAAATTCTGTTCACTTTTTGTTTTATGGCCCAACTTTGGGCAACATCTGTTTTCCTTCATTGGGAAGCAGGACTATATACAGCACAAGATGTCAGGGGCCCTTATAAACTCACAAGATTACAACAAATGTTTTAAATTATTTTGCAATTACATCTCAATTGTGACTCACTGAATAACTTCAGTACTGATGCAATTTACAGATTCTAGGTTAATCTCCAAAGCCTTCTGAAATGTACATAAATCTTTGGCTTATCAATTTACAATAAATCACTGCCGATTCTTCCTGACTTTTGGAAAGTACAAAATTTCATTACATAATTTATTATTTTTTTTTAATCTAATTAAGATATACACTTTACTGCATTCAAGGCCTTTCAAAGGGCAACTTTTTTTGTTCCTGAAACTGCCATTATAATAATGAAAGCTGTCAAATTACAAAAGAAGTGCAACGTTTTCTTTATATTTCTAAGTAATTCACACAACACTATTTAACAAACTGACAACTTGCATAATTATAATCAACTAATAATCTGGTTTTAATAATTACTGAAAATTTTACACAAATATATATCTTTCTTGGAAATCTGTACATTCATTGATATTTTAATTTGATTATTATTTCTTGCAAAATCTTAAAATTAGTCAATAATACATTGTAATTAAGTAGTCAATTTATTTGGCAAGAAATTTGGAGCTCCAAGAACTGGAGCTGTAGTGTCTGGGAAGTTTTCTGAACCCTCCAAGGACATTACTGAACCATCCTGGGAAACATCAACAGGGTATCGCATCAAATGTCCCTCAATTTTACAAGGCTCGTCAGCTGCATAGGCAGTCCAGTTGCTATCTGATACTTCATTTATTGCTCTCATACATTCAATTGAACCTGGATTCAAGAAAGTTTCATCAAAACTTCCAAGGTGTTCTGCCCAGAGTGCCATTCTGAATTTAGAAACAGATCCTTGTGGCTGACCGCTAACTTCTCTTGTGTGAAGTGGCTGAAAGCATCCCACTGCTATTTCAGAATCTCTAGTTCCACCCATGCTTCGCTGATTGATGTTTGCAGAGCCAACAATGATGTAGTCATCATCGACTATCATCATTTTTGAGTGGACATAAATCATAAGTCTTGCGTTATCTCTTAGTTTGGCAGCAGGAGTGTCTGGCTCTGGTGGAGAGAGATCCTGTGGAATTTCATCTGGACATTCACCTTTTGCTAGACAGAAGAATGAGAGGTAGTCTCTTGGATGGGTATCAAGCTCATTAGCTTCAATAGCCTGAGCAATAGTGCGATACATCATCTGCATGGTGCGATGCTGCCAATGGAGAATTTCTTGAACAGGACCACTTGTTGGATCTCCTTCAGGAAACATGGGTACAATGACATAAGCTGCCATATATTTTCCTTCATTTATCTTTTCCACAATACGCTGAGTAATTTCCAGTGGAATTAAGTGGTAGGCCTTAGTATTCTGTTCCTCATCCCAGTTATATGCTGATCCAAGAAAATACTGATTTTCAATGTAAAGGAAGCTATCTGCACGTCTTATTTGATGAATATATGCCCTATGTATACTATCGTCAACGTATTTGCCTTTTCTCTTTGGAATGGTTGAAAATCTATCAAATTTAAAAAGAGCAGAGTCTGATGTGATGGACCTGAATATCTGAGCACTCCACATTTCACTTTCCTCACATGTCACTGGTTCTAATGAAAACTCTTCTCTTGAAATAGGAAGAAGTCGAGATTCTCTATCATGGACCTGCTTTCTCCATCGTTCAGTAAAGTTTGCAAGAACATCCAAGGCTACAGGTCCCTCGAGACGACAGTGAATATCATGCCATGGTTCACGAGGGCCAACCTCACAAGTGGTTGTTGCAACGCCATTATAGAAATCCCCTTGATGAAGGGTCTGCAGTGTTTTGAAAAGTTCATGCTCTGGAGTATCATAGCGACCATCAGTAATATCAAGGCCTCCAATAAAGGCTTGAATTCTTGGAAGTTCTTCTTCATCTGCAGGAGGACAATCAACAATAACTGTTTTCTGGTGATGGGTGTAACATGTCTGAGAAAACTGGTTTTGAAAGAAGGATGCCATTCCCTCCAAGGACCGTACTCTAGGGACTACAGCTACCTCGACATCAGAATCTTGAAAATATAACCGCGTTTCTTCATCGTGGGTACCCATAAAGCCAGCAGTCAAATCAGTGCTCATCTTCTCATTCCATATCATAACCAGTACACGCACACCCTCGTCTGCTTTTCTTTTCAGTAGTTCACCAAATGATTCTCCTTTGCCTTCTTCACAGTCACATTCATCCCTGACTAGGACAGTAGCTGTGTACACACTCCAACCAGTAACATAAATAAATCTTTGAGCACTATTCACTGCCTTATATAAATCAATCCAAGCACAGGGGGCATTGAAAATTTCCCCATCGACTGTTGGGATGCCCTCATATATGGATAGAGGTGGACAGTGTGCATCCTGATACAGGGTAATCTTGCAGCCTTCTCTTAATGGGAAGTAACAATCAGGAACCTCAAATGTCGCCTCGATCATATCTTTAGGGACATAATTCATCTTCAGATTAATACGACCATCACAGCCTGACAGTGGGTACCATCCTTGCAGGGTTTCACCGTCCATAAGGTCTTCCGGCCTGATGCTGACTTCACCCAATACTCCAGCATCAAAATGATCCTTGTCCAAAACCTGAATTTGCAGTTCATCAGCAAGGTGACATACAGGAATTCTATGAGATTCCTGCCACTTAGGTGACAAGTCATTGTTAATTACAGCTGTCTTGCAAAGGACACAAGGTCCTATTTTAACCTGAGCAAAAGCATCTGAAGTGTCTTTGGGATCAATATTGAAGAATGCAGTATCACAATCTGGCAAATTATCTGCTTCTATGAGATCAACATAGAGATATCCCCTTAACATAGCCATTTTAATAGAGCCAGGATAATACTGATGGTTTCTGTGTCCTTACAGTAGTAGTGAGGAAGTTTAAATCGTATATGTACTACACATACACAAGCATGCAGGCAGCTAGGACGTTGGGCATTTCACTATTAAGGCATTAGTAATTCACATTTACCAACACCTACTGTCTGCAGCGACACCTGTGGAAAAATAACTAGAATTAATGACAAATTAGATTACTAACTTTAAAAAATGTAAATGCAGTAAAAATATGATTTTACTTTAAATATTTTATGCCAACACTGTTCACTAGAAGACAAGGAAATTACAGGTAAATGTCCCAAAAATCAGACCCAGTCAGGTATTCTGTAGCTATTCACCCAAGACTGAAGATTTTTTTTTATTAAAGTACTTGTACCCTAGATGTCAATGCTAGAGAAAGAAAAACAAGAAAATAAAGGTGAATTATAGGTGCAATTTTTCATAATTAACACTTCCAAGAAATCCGACAGTAATTTATATACAAATCTGTATTAAGAGAATAGCAATAAACCACTGATACTTACATACAGCCTCTCCTCGCTTAACAATGGAGTTCTGTTCCTAAGACCACGTTGTTAAATGAATTCGTCGCTAAGTGAGGAGCATACTATAATGGTAGTGAGTTTGTATCAACTATTTAATGTCACCTTTGCATCATTTATAACATTTCTTCTGGAATATTATTAAATGTTTATAGTTTACTGCATACTGAAAAACAGAATAGAGGAAATCATCTCTAATATGCATTACATGTATTTAGGTATGAATACTGGTCAGAAAGCCTGCCGTAAGTCCGAGGTGTCAGTAAATGAGTATGTCGCTAAGTGAGGAGAGGCTGTATTTACAGGATTTGCTATATCGTTTAAGACAGAAGGCTATACATAATTTTCCAAAATAGCTTCCAAGCCTTACATAAATTTAATGTAGTACTATATATTAAAGCCATTCTTAAACTGATTAAAATATTAAGTAAGCTTGCTCAAAATACTATGCAAGGTATTTATGAGAGTATGTACTTTAAGAATACAGTAAAACCTCTCATTAACAGACTTATCAAAAGTAACCAATTTCAGCAATTTCGTAAAAAAAAGGTTGGCTTGACAAAGGCTCTAATTATTGCATAAAAATGGGCAGAAGTCTGAATTTTGCATTTTATCCATAGTGATAAGTGTCCAGGCGTCTTCTGAAGTATTGGGCCAAATGTGCTAATTCCATCATATGTCCAGTACAGGCCATTGTGGCCATGTCCAGGACCTTTTTTTTTTACATTGTTCTCTGAGCCATGGGTCACCCACACCAATATATTGTTTGTGCTCACTCATGTACACACTTATCATTCAGTCTGATTTTTCAAGGCTGTAAGAGCAATTTGTGTCACTTAATGAAGTGAAGTTCCATTACCATATTTTATGGCAAACAAGATGTTCCAGTGTCAAGAATCCTCCCTTCCCTTCCCACCAATTCTGATTGGTTAAATTTCTGAAGAAAAAAAAAAATTAACAATACTTTGGGGAAAAAATAGTCTTTGATGCCATAAAATACAGTAACAATGCCTTCTAAAGCAAATGGTGATGCCAAGAGAAAACATGTGGTTTTCAGAAATTAACCCTTTGACTGTTTCAGGCCCCTTTCTAAAACTGTCATTCTATGTCAATAAATTTTTGAAAAAAAAAAAAAAAAAAAAAAAAAAAAAAAAAAAAATTTTTCTTATGAAATGATAGAGAATCTTTTCCCGATGGTAATGACACCAAAAGTTCGAAATTTGGTTGAAAACTCATGGAATTACATTCCCGCGAAGTTAGCGGTCTCGGCAACATATGCGTATCGGCGATTTCGCCGACTTTGAGCCCCATTTTCAGCCAATTTCGTTGTTCAGTTGACCAAACTCATAGCTATTTCTTTAGAACTCCATTTTTATCTATCAGCTGAGTACAAGAAACCTCCCATTTATCAATTTGGACTACCCAATATGGTGGTCAGAAATTGGCAATTTGGCCAATTTCACGCAAACTAAAAAAGATGCCAATTTCAAAATAGGGTCCAGAATAAGCAAGGTAGACATTCTTGGCACTAAAATAACATATCCTCTGTTCATCAGTCACATCTCTAGGCCCCTCTTATATTATTATTGCTTTCTATTTTGATTTTTTATTCATACAAAAAAATACAAAATTTACTGTTATGAAGACTACTGCATTATTGTAAAAATGGTATAAATAATATCAGTGCACTAGTGAAAGAATATTAGACTCCCCAGTTGACGTGTATTGGACGTGTGATGTGATTTGTTTACTCCTGAACATTGGTAAAAATTGAACATTTCCGCTACTTTGAGCTCAGTTTCAAGGTCGTTTTCATCGTCAAAGTAATGAAAATCATCTCTATTTCTGTAATATGTTTTCCATTTTATCACCTAATACCATGAAAACGCAAATACTACATCGATAAATACTATACGAAAATACACCTCAAAGTCGGCGTTTTAATCCAAAAAAATTATCAGTTTTTTTTTCTCATTACGCACTGTGTGCTGCAGGATTTTTTTTATGTGGTGCACACTGACCACACAGACCCATTCTCTCACATGTGGGCCTACCAGCTTTCTTCCGCTTGATTTGAAGCCGCTAGAATTATCGAGTATATATACACGTCAGAAACAGTGGCGCGTAAGACGTATTTATACGGCGTAAACAGTCAAAGGGTTAATGTCTACTCAACCATCTACTTTTCATCCATTTAAATTATTTTCACCAGTAGATCTTTACAGCTCTGACCCAATAAAAGTTAATTCCGAGTCACACTATCAATCACAGCAGCTAACAGCTCATCTCTCTACCACAAAAAGGCAAGAAAAGTTACTGTAAATTACAGAGTATGTACTATAATATTACTATACAGTACACTACTGTACTGAAGTAATTCAGGTTACAATGCCTGTATCCTTTATGTCCAGCTGTCTTCTGCATCAGTGGATCAAGTCCACTACTTCAGAAAACAACCAAACATTCATGAAATATTAAATTTCAAAATTTGGAAGTTGTGGACAATCAGCATTATCATACACACCCTCCCCCAATTAGTCTGTTAATGAGAGGTTTTACTCTATTCAGCTATATTTATTGTATTTAATGTTTCAAAGAAATGGTATTTTGAAATTCTTACAGTTTCATCGAATGCCAATACAGGAGGGCCTCACTTTACAGAGTTTTGCCAATGCAGTGGTTTTCAATTATACCCACTCATTTATTCAGACTTGCTACAATAAATACATTAATCACTCACTATAGGCTAAGGATAGAAATATTTTAAAGTAATGTGTGTACTGTATATGCATTCTTTAGGCCTAGCTCTATTGCTCACTTAATATATGATAGTGTAAACATGTTATCAGGATTTTATATGCATTTGAAAGAAAAAAAAAAAAAAAAAAAAAAAAAAGGGCTTAGTTTTACTTTACAGCAAAAGCCTGGAACCTAACTTAGAAAAATTTAAACAAAATACAGTACTGTACAATAAGAGCATCTTGGTCAAACAAGTGAACCAAAAAGACAAGATGAACTGTAAAAATTAAGATGCTGAAAGTGGCAGATAATGAGTGAGACAGCTAAAATTAATCCAGAGCTACCAAAATGGTAAAACTATCCAGACTACTTTGCTTCATGTTCTGAAAGGGTTAGAATCTAAACAACAGGGCAAGCAACTAAAATTTGTAATACCCATGAAAGAACAGTAAATGCATGAATTAAGAGCTAAAGAGTACAAATTAATGAAGCTGCAGAAAGGAAGAAAAGTACTGTTTTATATTTTATCTTGGGTTCAAGTTACACAACTGAAAATGTAAAAAGCTAACCAATGTTCCAGTCTTATCTCAAAAGTCCCTGATATTTTGCTACTGCCAAAAAGTTCTCTCATATAAACTTACATCATAAGTAAATATTTTGTTAGGATTTTTAACCCAGAGGGTTAGCCACCCAAGAAAGTCAGTGCATCATTGAGGACTCATTTCCATTGTGGCCCTTCAATCTTGTCCCCCAAGATGCAACCCACACCAGTCAGCTAACATCCAGGTACCTACTTGCTAGGTGAAAGGAGACAGCAGGTGTAAGGAAACGCTCAATACTTCCACCCTGCCGGGGATCAAACTGAACACTCAAAGAGGCGAAAGCGTGGCCTACCAGGCCACTGGACACTCGTATTTTAACAGGTCACTGAGCCTGGTGCCTGGATAAGTAGCTCACAGTGACTGGAGTATAGCTAAAAATGTTGAGGTAAAGTCTTCAAATATGAGGTCCAGATAATCAGACTATCAAATTTACCAGGTCTCTGGACTCCATTATGCACTCTTGATCCATGAAAATCAGATGCTATTCTTTTCCTCAGACCAAACAATCTCCTCCCATTTTCCATGCACTCTATAACTCTTATGGACTTACTGCTTCTCAATAACTATAATAATAATGGATTCCCATTATTCAGGTATTAATACATACAGCACAAACCATTATTAGAATGTACTGAGGATACATAACACACATTACGGCTCAGATAATACTGAGCTTATTTCCTTACACCTGCTGCCCCTGTTCACCTAGCAGTAAGTAGGTACCAGGGTTAGTCAGCTATTGTGAGTCATCCTGGGGAACAAGACTGAAGAACCCCAATCAAAATCACACAGTTCCCAATGACACTAACTATATTGGGTTAGTTTATTGAAGTACAAGTATTTACACAAATTTAGTTACACAAATTATCATGCATAGTAACATATGTAAATTACCTAGGATAACCTAAAAATATCTGACTTATTTCCATTGGGGTCATTGGGTGGCTAACCCTCTGGGTTAAAAGTCCTAACAAAATCTTATCTTAATGTCATTAATTTCTATTGGATATAAGGGTATAAAATGAGCACTATGGGTAGCTTTAATAGATAAATATACATGAAGGAATGGCTGAGAAAGTCCTGCCTAGAATGGGACAGTAGGCCTACTGTAAGTTTATTTAGGTACAGGTATACATAGGTAAAGGATTATACATGGAAATAAATAAAACTTTTTTGGGGTTATCCTAGGTAATTTACACTATGTATGATAACTGTGCCTGTGCCTAAATATACTTACATCACCTGGAAGAATGGGAGGCAAACCAGCTCGATCCTAGGAACAGGACGCTAGGCCCAATTCCTTGGATCGATAGCCCCTCACCAGGATAAATTACCATGGGGAGCGCTAAACCCGTAGGGATTAGACAGCGTCTGTGGGGGGAGGAAATGGAGCACAGATCCAATTCCCTGGATCAAGAGCCCCTCACCAGAATCAAGGAACCTCCCTTGAGGGCACATGCATGAAAGGCACCTCAGTCTGAGGTTCCTGGTAATTACAGTAGTACACGAGTGGGACACTGGGCGGTGGCCAACCTTGATAGAAACAAGTCGCTCCTGACTTTTTTTTGGGGGGTTATCCTTGGTAATTTACACGTAATCACCAAAAAAAAAAAATTGTGTCACTGTTTTTATGTGTATCAACCTAAATAATTTAAACGTAAGGCACCACTCAATACATGAAGGGACCACAACTAAAAAAAAAAAGTCACTTTTCTGACTTTTTTGGGGGGGAAGGGGGCGGTTATCCTAGGTAATTTACACGTTAACAGGTATGATAATCATACTTAAGTGTGCCTAAATAACTTACACACTGTAAAATGGAACAAGAGAACAATCTCACAAGACCACTACACACACTTTAGAACAGCTGTTCACAGACAACACAGCACCCACCACAGACAGAATAAAATGGTGAAACAGAACATTAAACAGTATTACCCAGATGAGGTGAAGTGATGTCAGAGGTGACTTCTGTGAGAGAGAGAGAGTGTGTACCTCACAACGATGTCTTCCCTCACACTGATCACTGCCACTACTGACAACCTCCTCAACACATGACAACACTCATGCACTCACATTTATTAATCACGATTTACACAGTTTATATAAGTTTAATTGTAATAATCTTCTTTTGGGAATTTACAAGAGTGATCTCATGATTGTTATATTGTTATCAGTCAGCACATCTAATGGATTTAATTTATTTTCAGGAACTGTAATGATAAGCTACTTACTTATTTAAGCTGCCATGATATAAAATGTCACTCTTGTATTATATCTCTGATGAATGTATGTAATATTGTATGCCTTTCCGTTTCATTTATAATGACAATCTCCTTATTGTGTGCTATAACACTTCTGTAAATTAAGTCAGTTTAATAGGTTTAAATACAATCAACTGAATGACAGCCATTAAAACTGAAAATCAACTTGTAAAAAAATACTAATACACATTTTCAGTGTGTATATATTGAGAGCTATACACCTTTTTGTGTATATACTCGGTGATAAAAAGTGTAATGATCAAGAATTCAATGCGATGATCATTAGTCATCTCTGTGTTTTTTCCAGGAAACTTCTGACTAGGAATTCTAAGAGAAGTTTATATCATTAGAATCTTAGAATACAGTCACTACAACAATAAACGTGGAAATGTAAATTTACAGAGGAATGACCCTTTATAAATACGGTATTCGGTACCAGGTAATAAGATAGTTATCACATTGATCTGAACAATTGTAACTCAGATATGTATTATGGCGTCGTATGATCTTGGCTCTATAGTGTCTCGACCTTATTAAAACTACACTTAAGGGAATTTACCAGGCCCCCCCTGTCTTTAAAATAAATTATCTTTTCTTCTGGGATTAAAATTTGGATGCTTAGCTACGGTGTTTTATATTGTTATTGTGTGTTGCTGTGTGGTGTTTTGTGTGTTACTGTGTGGTGTTTTGTGTGCTACTGTGTGGTGTTTTGTGTGTTACTGTGTGGTGTTTTGTGTTACTGTGTGGTGTTTTGAGTTGTGTTACTGTGTGGTGTTTTGTGTTACTGTGTGGTGTTTTGAGTGTGTGTTACTGTGTGGTGTTTTGTGTGTTACTGTGTGGTGTTTTGAGTTGTCTTACTGTGTGGTGTTTTGTGTGTTACTGTGTGGTGTTTTGTGTGTTACTGTGGTGTTTTGTGTTACTGTGTGGTGTTTTGTGTTACTGTGTGGTGTTTCGTGTGTTTACTGTGTGGTGTGTTGTGTGTTACTGTGTGGTGTTTTGAGTTGTGTGTTACTGTATGGTGTTTTGTGTGTTACTGTGTGGTGTTTTGTGTTACTGTGGTGTTTTGTGTGTTACTGTGTGGTGTTTTGTGTTACTCTGTGGTGTTTTGTGTTACTGTGGTGTTTTGTGTGTTACTGTGTGGTGTTTCGTGTGTTACTGTGTGGTGTTTTGTGTGTTACTGTGTGGTGTTTTGAGTTGTCTTACTTTGAGTTGTCTTACTGTGTGGTGTTTTGTGTGTTACTGTGTGGTGTTTTGTGTTACTGTGGTGTTTTGTGTGTTACTGTGTGGTGTTTCGTGTGTTACTGTGTGGTGTTTTGTGTGTTACTGTGTGTGTGTTTTGAGTTGTCTTACTGTGTGGTGTTTTGTGTGTTACTGTGTGGTGTGTTGTGTGTTACTGTGTGGTGTTTTGAGTTGTGTCTTACTGTGTGGTGTTTTGTGCTACTGTGTGGCGTTTTGTGTTATTGTGTGTTATGCTGTCTTACTGCGTGTTTTTTTTTACGTTACTGTGTGTTGTGTTACTGTGAATTATGCTGTGTTACTGTGAATTATGCTGTGTTACTGTGTGTGTGGAAAATTGCATTTATCTGAATGTATCATTATATACATAACAGTAAATGAACATAGATAATTATTATTTATCAGTTAGACAAGTAGGAATTTGGGACACCTAGGTCGCAAAAAATGTCCCCCTTCGATACCTACCACTGTCATATCCACAAGTTGCTCTGGATCTATTAATTAAATGAATTATACATCTCCAGGAATACTGGTAAATATGTAAATTTGTGGACTGTATATTAAAAATAATAAATGATTATAGATGCACATATATACACATTTACACAACAGAATGAGAATATATCTTAATCATAACACTCACCAATTTGACTGGAGATTAATGTGTCATGTACAGGACCCCTCCTTTTGCCTATATTTATGAAGAATTTACTGGCCAGAAATTAAACATAATTTAGACAGCTTATCTGAGGTTCCTGGAGTTGTCCTGTCCTGTCGCCTGATTCTCAAATTATGCAGGAATGCACATCCAACAATTTCGCCTCTTATTTGAGAGGTGTCAGCCCAATTTTTAACCTCTAGAGCACGAAAAATTCTTCCCATTATTCACAACGTGTTATTCAATTCAATCAAAATGGCGACTGTCCTCTTTTTAAAAATACACTTTTATTAAATACAATATAGGGCATCTATTTACCTATAAATTACCGTATTTCCGGAAAATATACAGTATTTTCTACAGTGTGTTATGCTGTGTTACTGTATGTTATGTTGTGTTATGTTGTGTATTATGTTGTTACTGTGTTGTGCTATATTACTGTGTTATGTTGTATTACTGTGTTATGCTGTGTTAATGTGTTATGCTGTGATATGCTGCTGTACTTGTGCTGTTACTGTGAGTTATGGTGTGTCTTGAACTGTGCATAAGTGTCCCTTTCCACAGTGTAAATATGCTGAGAGATTAATTTATTCCCAATATTAGGTTTCGTTGTGCACCACCTAGCAGGTTATTAATAGAATATTCAAGAGGTTGCTAGTAGAATTGCAGTAAATCAACCATTCAAATCATTATGAAGCTGTGTGTAGTCTGTGGTCAGTCAAACAAACGGGCTTCCACATGCATAAATTGTCATTTCTGTGGAAATTGGTGTCACGCCCCTTGTGCAGATATCCAAGAACTAGCTACAAGCAGTATTAAAACAGGGAAGTGTTTTTGGGTATGCCCAAATGAGATAAATCTGTGGACTAAAATCACAAGGGTATTAAAAGAGGTCAACATCAAAGCTGCTTTCATAGAAAACCTGAAGCTTTCTACAACAGATGGGAACATAAAAAGTCCGGGCTGAATGGTACTGCCTTGATACTGGCCATGTAGTCACAACTGTAAGGCTGGAGATGATGTCCTGGTAGTCAGTAAATGGGGGGCTGATAGTGCTGTCCTGGGAGACAGTAATGGGGAAGCTGGAGGTGCTGTCCTGGGAGCAGTAATGGTAAAAGCTGGAGGTGCTGTTCCTGGGAGACAGTAATGGTGAAGCTGGAGATGCTGTCCTGGGAGACAGTAATGGGGAAGCTGGAGAAATGCTGTCCTGGGAGCCCAGTAATGGTGAAGCTGGAGATTTTGTCCAGGTAGTCGGGAATTATACGCAGGAAGGAATACATATGAATGACCTCATAGGGGACAGGAGCCATGTAGGGAAACAAGTGTAGTCAAAGATAAGAAAAAACCCAATATTGCAAACTAGAAATACCGCAGGAAATAGCAAACAAGAGGACTCCACTAGCAATAGTGAGGATTATTACCAAAAAAAATGGTGGGAGCTCCATTGTTGGTGTAGGGAGGATAGAAGTAAGACAGGGAACATGCACCAACAGGGAATACAGTCACAAAAAACCCCAAGGCAAACGGAAACCAAGCCTGTGCACATACTATGCACTCGGTATTGCTGCATGGGAAATCTGGAAAAACTGATGGGACGTGCAACTATGACCACCCTAGGAAATGCCATGCCCATATGACAACAGGAAAATGCAAACTCCCTTCCTGTAAGCTTTTTCACCCTAAAACTGTGTACCTCTTCGTACAGGAAAGACTTTTGCTATAACTTAAATTGCCAGGCTACCATCTAAAGGGGACAAAAAGATACAAAACATCCAGGCCATGGGAAAACCTGGGTAGCCACAGCCACTCAAGAGGGGAGGTTTTTTAGTGCCAGGAAGGAAAAAAATGGCAGAAATGGCAGAAATCGTACACCCAAAACAGTCATTCCTGGAGTGGAACCACAGTCGATGGCCTCCACTCCAAACCAACAGATACAAAATACTAATGCCGGAAAAAAAATCCCCCCCAGTACCAACAATACCACCAGTCCGATAACATTCTTCTTTGCAAATATACAGGGTCTAAAGCCAGCAAAAACAACAAAATACCTTTCATCCGTGGGGCTGCTTGCAGAGGCAAAGGCAATGTTCACGGCTTTCACTGAGACCCACATAAAGGATCACTTGGACAACGAAATATGGATCCCAGGTTCAACCTATACAGATGTGACAGAGTGAACAGGCAAAAGGGGGGGGTTGGCCTGTACATTGCAGAGTCACTTGTTTGCACAGAACTGCTAATGCCTCAAATGATGTAGTGGAAGTTTTAGCAGTAAAGGTCGAGAACCAAAACCTAGTCATTGTGATAGTCTACAAGCCTCCGGATGCAAACATCCCAGCAATTCCAGGAACAGCTGTTAAAAATTGACCACTGTCTGGAAAACTTCCAGCTCCTGCACCCAACATCTTGCTCCTGGGGGATTTCAACTTAAGGCACCTAAAATGGAGGAATATGGGCAAATAATATTGTTGCAGTAATAACACCAGGAGGCACTCTGATGAAAACTCACACTCACGCGAGCTTTTAAATCTCTGCACAAAATTCAATTTAAACCAGCAAATAATAGAGCCTACTAGACTGGAGAATACACTAGACCTCATCTTCACTAACAATGATGATCTGATAAGAAATATCACCATATCAAAAACAATATACTCAGATCACAACATAATTGAGGTTCAGTCATGTATGCGCGGAGCCCCAGACCGACATAATGAGATTAGTCACGAGGGAGCATTCACCAAATTCAACTTCAATAACAAAAACATAAAGTGGGACCAAGTAAACCAAGTCCAAAACCGATATAAGCTGGGAAGATATACTAAGCAACACAGACCCCAACTTATGCCTAGAACAGATTAACTCGGTAGCACTCG